CTTACCTGAATAGACGAACCCGAGGTCAGTAGCTATGTCAAAGGACAGTCAGGTAACTCGGTTATTCTTTATGTGGTTCTATAGAAATATACAGTAAAGTTAACAGTGCACGATAGGTAAAAAAATGCGAGATAGAATTCAAAAGGAGGGTGGAAATACATTCGAGGTGCTTAGACGAGCAATCGTTTGAAGGACACAGACGCGTTGCTGCTAGTTTATAAGGGACAGGAAATTAAAAAACGAGGGAGCCAATAAGGACACGGTGCGGGGAACAAATAGCATGGGGCGGGTGAATACAGGCAATTCCGTGCCGGAAAGGGGAGAAATTTGCAAGCGTCTGAGGACAGTGGTGGTGACAGCTGTCATCGAACCAGAGGGGGAGCGGGCAGTATGCAAATGGCCTTAGAATGTGCCAGTCGGGCACAGGGGTTTTCAAGTGGTCTTCACCGCAGTCGCTTCTATATTACCACGCGAAGAGACAACTGGGTCAAATGTGTTCAGGATAGCTCGACCCAACAGCTGCTGTGTCTCGTCCACTTTCCTGTAGAAGGCCGAGAGAGGGGGAACCAGCGTATTCAAGTGGCTCTTGAAACAGTTGATTAAAAGGCAAGAGAGCCGAACGGGGGGTGGGGAAAGTATTCAAGTAGCACTTAAGTGGTACTTGGCCGGGGAACTAGATTGAACGCAAGTGTGCAGTCAACTGGAATAAAGGGGTCAACAGTAACATAATTCTTGGAGGAAGGGGACTCGGACACGCAGTTCAGAGTAAATTAAATTCGAAGATGACATTGACGTGGTGATTGTCACAACTATCGTTAACGGAACTCACTCGTCCCGCTCTACCTTGGGGCTCATTCTCGAGCACCGTCAGCAGCCGCACAGTGTCAATATCTTCCGATCTAAACCGGCACGACAAGGAACCCGTGGCTCAATGTCTAGAGCGTTAGGCTTCTGATCAAAAAGTCGCGGGTTCGAGCCTCGGATGGTGCATTACTTAAGGTTGGGCATGACTGGCTGACGACGGTTAATAAACTAGAAATGGCCATTCCATTCTTCCTTGACTTTGCCGGCAATA